GCCTACCTACGTTTTCCCTCCCACCCACCCCTTTGCATGCATTTCCCAGTTGGTACAGTGACACGTCAGCTACAGTGCCACGTCAGCAGTGACACGTCAGTGCCACGTCAGCAGTGACACGTCAGCGCAGTGCCACATCATACACAGTGACACGTCAGACACAGTGGCACATCAGACAGTGCCACATCAGCAGTGACACGTCAGCAGTGACACGTCAGCAGTGACACGTAAGCAGTGACACGTAAGCAGTGCCAGATCAGCAGTGCCACGTCAGTCACAGTGCCACGTCAGCATGACGGGTCCAGCTCTGGGCGTGCCAGGCCAACTGGCCAACGAGTCTCTGGCCGAGTACAAACGGCGGTTCCAGGCCCAGATCGCTCTGATCGAGGCTGAGGAACAACGCCAGCTGGCAGCCGCGGCTGCCCGCCTACAGGCTGAAGAAGCGGCAGCAGCAGAGAAGCTGCGGCTACAGGCCGAAGCAGACGCAGATAACCAGGCTCGCCGCAAGGAAGCCCAGGATCTGCTGCAGCGGCATGAGACCACAAGCATCGAAAGACTGAAGTTCTGGCACTTTGAACCAAACCGCGACGACGGAACACCGGAAGAGCAGCATAAGGAGTTCCTCTCCAAACTCGTGACACGGTTGTTGTATGCTTGCAACTACCAACGGTCCGAGTTGGAGAGACAGAACCAGGAACTGCAACAGCTGTTCCAGGATCTGAAGCAACAGCACCAGGAGTTGGCGAACCTCCGCCGGATAGTGCAGAGCCAAGAGGATGCGACACGGGCACTCAATGCCCGTGTACTGGACCTGGAACAGGCTGTACCAGGACCAGGTGCTGGTGCCTCCAGCAGTACACCCTCTAGCCGCCAACTGGAGGAACGCGTTGACCACGTAGTAGCAATGCTCAGCGATATCAGCACCTTCGCTGCACCGACCACCATCAGCAGTCAGCTGGAGGCATTGAAGACCGAGGTCCAGCAACTGCAGTCGACGAACACAGATGGCAATCCAAAGCAATACAAAATGCCAACTTTCCAACTGGAAAAGTTCGACGACTACACACATCAGGATCCGGTCCTCTGGTGGGAAGCGTTCACGACGCAACTTCGGATTCTGCCTGTCGCCAAACACGCGTACATCGGCGCCTTGTTCATGAACTCAAAGGGAGGATGCCAGATCTGGTTGACTCACCTGGCAGCCACCCACGGCATCGACGTCGCGGATCTGAAGGACAAGATCACACGGGAAGAGTTGACACGGCTGTGGAAGAAGCATTTCGTCGTCGACAACGCACCAGCACTAGCAATCAACCGTCTCTTCACCATGTCTCAGGGCAACACAGCAACACGTGACTGGCTCACGGAATGGCAGAAGATCGCGGCAGTGCCCGATCTGGACTTACCATTCACGCATTTACGCTGTGAGTTCTACAACAGGTCATGTGCTGCACTGAGCCAGGCACTTGGTGATCGCGAGCAATACACCACCTTCGCTGAGATCATTGATAAGGCAAGGGAGATCATCAAGACCAACAGGTCAGCTGCACACRAGAAGTCMACGTGGCAGCCAACCTATGTGGAGAASGTGAGAACTGGTCCGCGACAGCAGCAGTTCGCTGCAGTCCAATCGGACAACACTGTGGAAGACCCGGCAGCCACCCAAGCGTCACGTGAGGGAGATCAGGTGGCTGCCGTCCAGCCGCGAAGCAACAACAACCCCGAGTGAACGGGAAGGCAAAATCAGCATCGCCGGCCGGAAATGGACAGCCAGCACCACCATGGGTGAAGTTCGGCTTGACCGAGGCCGAGTACAAGTACCGCGCCCGTTACGGCTGCTGCTACTGGTGCAACAGCACCAAGCACAAGACCTCCCTTTGCCAGGATCAGGCCAAGGAGGATGTGCGGCCTCGTCTTAACTCGGGAAACTGAGTTGCGCAGGAGGTGAGGCGACTCCACCTCTAACTCCGCCAGATTCGGCCGCCTTGCTAGCGGCCTCCTACACATCTGGGGAGGATGCGCATGTCGCAAGTCCTCGGTACACTTACGAGGATTATGCTGTCCACTTGGTCCCACCGCTGGACCAACCGCTCCACGTGCAACAATCTACCGCATGCACGGTTTCATCACCATCGGCAACCGATTCGACAGCTTCGCCGTCATCTACCGCCGGGGATTCAACGTCATGGTCAAGACTTGAAGAGCTCGACCCGTTGACTTTTGAGGACTTCCAATGGATGCCCCTGCCGCGGTCCGGTCGATTGCCGAAACCGCATAGCAACGTGCTCAAAGCACAATTGCGGGATTACTTGCACACTGCAGTACCGACTCCGTTGATGGACGCCGGAGTAGAGGTTGTCGACCTTCACACCTACATTGCGAAGATCGACCGCGAGTTCAAGATGCAACGGTACGACGACATCGACGCACCATTGCTATATATACACATTCAGATCGGAGAGGCGACCTGCAGCGCTTTGATCGATTGCGGAGCATCTCGCAACTACACGAGTCAGGACTTCATGGTACGCGCCGGCCTTGGCCCACGAGTCCGAAGGAAGTCCCAGCCCACGCAAGTCACGTTGGCGGACGGTCACGCGTACAAGCAATCGACCGGTGCATTGATGACGTCCCAGTGTACTTTGCCCCTCACGCAAGTGAGGCGGTGTCCTTGGACATTCAGGACACCAAATTCGACATGATCTTGGGCGTGTCATGGCTGCGAAGCGAGGACCACCCGGTGAACTTCTACCTCCGCACCGTTCACGTTCGTGATCGGAACGGAGTACTAGTCCCATGCATGGTAGCTCCTCCTCACTCTTCAGTCAGCTGTCACGTGGTATCCGCCGCAAGCATGCGAGCTTGCATCATCAGAGACGACATCGAGGAGACGGGGGTGTGTTTTCTCCACGCCCTCCCGCCCCATGACGCTTCATCGACGGACTCTTCTTCGGATCCACGCATCACCGAGCTTCTCGACGCCTACAGCGACGTGTTCGAAGGCCCGCACGGAGTAGTACCGGATCGGCCCATCCGCCACGAGATCATCCTCGAGGACGGGGCCGTACCTCCACGCGGTTGCATCTACCGAATGAGCGAGGAAGAGTTAAGTGCGCTTCGGGCACAACTCGACGACCTTCTGGAGAAAGGCTGGATTCGGCCTAGCTCATCGCCATACGGTACTCCTCTTCTCTTCGTTCGGAATCGGAACTGCGTTGTCATAACCGCTTGGAAAGTGGCCGGGGCATTCGTAAGGCCAAATGGCATAACCAGCCATTCGAAATGCCCATATCGTGTCCTAAATGCGGTCTTGTAGCGATCCTCCTGCCGGATCTCGAGTTGGTGATATCCCGACTTGAGACCGACCTTGGAGAAGAACTTGGCGCCGCCCAGTCGCTCGAGAAGATCGTCGGTGCGTGGGAGAGGGCCGGCGTTTCTGATAGTCTGCGCGTTGAGCTTGTGATAATCACATGCTGGATCGATACATACTTATCTACCTCGACGACATCCTGGTGTACAGCCCGAGTTTGGAGGAGCATGTAGAACACCTGCGCACCGTTTTGGAGCGGCTACAACAAGCCAAGTACAAAACCAACCGCGACAAGTGCGAATTCGCGCGACAGGAGCTGGAGTACTTGGGACATTATGTGACGCCGCAAGGCATCCGTCCGCTTGCGGACAAGATCGAGGCCCTACAAGTATGGCCCGAGCCCACCAACACCACGGACGTTCGTTCATTCATGGGGTTGGCGGGCTACTATCAGCGATTCATCACCGGATACTCCAGGATTGCTGCACCTATGATGAGGTTACAGTCGCCAAAGGTGCCATTCTATTCGATGACGACGCACGCCGATCATTCCAAGCACTCAAGACGGCCATGCTCATGGCACCCGTCCTTAGCATTTATGACCCCGTCCTACCTACGAGAGTGACAACGGACACTTCCGGCAATGGCATTGGGGCAGTCTTGGAACAACACGACGGCGACCACTGGCACCCTGTGGAGTATTTCAGCCACAAAGTGCCTCCCATCAACTCGCTCGATGATGCAAGGAAGAAGGAGCTGCTTGCATTCGTCATGGCTCTCAAGCGATGGCGGCACTTCCTCCTTGGGCGTCGTAGGTTCACATGGGTTACGAACAACAATCCATTGACCTACTACAAGACGCAGGATACGGTGAGCAGCACGATCGGATGATGGATGTGTACTTCATCGACCAATTTGACTTCACACCGAAACATCTTCCCGGCCTCCGAAATCCCGCAGCAGATGCACTCTCGCGAAGACCTGATCTTTGCGCTATGACACAGCATGCCTTCGCATTCGACGAGGAGCTTCAGCGACACTTCATCCGGGCATATGAGTCTGATCCGGACTTCGCCACGCTGTACGCACAGCTATCTTCGGATCACCCGCCAGCCAGCCACTATCGCATTGCCGATGGATACTTGCTCCTCCACTCGAGAGGCACGGATGTGTGTCCCACACGATCGTCGTCTTCGGACTCGCCTTCTCGGGGAGTACCACGACTCGCGACTCGCCGGCCATTTCGGAGTCAACCGCACTATTGCACGGCTTCGACAACGATTCCGATGGCCTGACCTCATTACCAATGTCACTCGGTATTGCGACTCTTGCGAAGTTTGCCGACGCAGCAAACCCCGCAACCGCAATCCCTATGGCGAGTTACGCCCGATGCCTATCCCACGGGAACCCGGTCTCTCCATTGCCATGGATGTCACCGGTCCGTTCCCTCGCAACCGGCTCGGGCACGACGGCATCCTCACGTTTGTGGACCAATTGAGTAAGTACGCGCATTTTCTTACTTGCAAGTACTACTCCACGGCTCCCGATCTGGCACGCCTCCTGCACACTGGTTGGATTTGTGGCCACGGTGTGCCAGAAGACATAGTCAGCAACCACGACACTCGCTTCATGTCGGCATTTTGGACTCCTCTTATGCACGAGTCCGGCACGAAGATGAAACCAAGTTCGGCTCGGCATCCACAGACGGACGGGCAAACAGAGCGGGCACATCAAACCGCTCAAATGATGCTTTGCACGCTCATCCGTCCGGACCAAAAAGATTGGGTTGACCGCCTCCCCGACATCGAGTTCRCCTACAACACTTCGGTGCATCCGGCGATCGGCGTGCCTCCATTCGAGTTGAACCACGGTGGACGAAAAAGGCCGGATCTTCGCCGACCTTCTCCTCCCTCGGCCAGTCGACATTGACGCTGCTTGCTCTCCCGGTTCCGTCCGGAAGTACAGGGAATTGCTCACTCAAGCCCGCGCGAACATGCAAAAGGCTCAAGTCCGCATGCAGCAGCAAGCCAACAGGCCTCGCGTACCATGTCCCATCCGCGCCGGTGATCTGGTTTGGGTCTTCGCGGAAGACTTTGCACTGGAACAGGATGTTTCATGCAAACAGCTTTCAAGTGGTTTGGACCATGGTCTGTGACATCAGCCGCGGGCGATGAGCCCAATGGCCCTTCATTTGTGATCAACATTCCCGAGCATCTGACGGTCCATCCAATCTTTCACGCATCAAAGCTGCCAACATATACACCAGCTACGAGCGACGACTTCCCGAGCAGACGATCGCAGGACCCTCCATCTATGGATGGTCATCAGGAGGTTGACCGCGTCATCTCGGATCGCAAGTACGACAGCAAGCCGCAACAGTACAAAGTTACATTCAGAGCATGCGATCCCGACGACACTCGGTGGATTTCAGGAGCAGATTTGAAAGCATCCGCACCGCTGATATACAGTCACTACGAGCGTCAAAGGTTAGCCAAGGGACCCCCACGACCTTCCCCTCCCACCCGGACTGTGGTCCCTCCCTCAGACAGACAGCTTCGCACTCGCAGGTAAGCTCGGTCTTTCAAGGAGAGGGGGGTGTGGCATACTGCGTAGCCACACGGGCCCTGCAGGGCCCGTCCCGCACTTTCAGCCTAAAAGCCTAAAACTTAGGGCTTACAGGCCCCCGTCGTTCAGCCTGAAAGCTGAAATACGAGGGTCTGCAAGCCCTATACCGTTTCAGCCTATTTCTAGGCCTTTCAGGCCCACAGGCTTTTTAGCCTGAAATGGAGGGCCATTTTCACGCCCTCATTGTGTTTGACCTACCTAAGACTCAGGCACGAAAACAGGGTTTCGGAAGAGGCCAGAAATAGCCTGTTCCCCACACCAGCTCGAGCAGGAGCTGCAGCTGCAGCCCCTGCCTCCCGTAGGCATTGGCAAGAGCAGCCTCCTGGACTGCCTCGCCTCCAGTCAGGAGGCACCCGGTAGTACATAGGAAGTTCCCATGCACTTCACGGGTAAGCAGTTGTCAGTAGGCACAAGTAGTCTTCAGGATTCGGCCGCAGCACTCAGGAGGAGCGCTGCAGTAGTCTTCAGCGCTAGGCAGTAGTCTTCAGCGTTAGCTGTAGTCTTCGGCGCTGGGCGCCCATAGCCATAGCAGTAGTCTGCAGCGCTGGGCGCTGGTAGGTGGTAGATAGTAGAGTTGGGAGAGACACTGGCGGAGGCCAGTGGTACTTACCTATGGCGCCATCGCTCCAGCTCCATCTGCGAGGTACCTGCATCAAGGCACCAACTTCACAGGTTAGTACTGGACACAGAGAGAGAGAGAGTTCTTCTTCTTCCTCTTCTAAGTCCACCATCTCTTCTCACCCTCTCACCACCTGATTTCTCAGACTACGACAGCGAGAGACAGAGTTGTGACTTSAGACTTGACGACATTGGATCCAGACTTGACATTTGGGATTCAGACATTTTGACGAGGGACTATTTGGGCCTGTGCCGAAGACTTGGTGTTGACGACATTCCCATCTTTCCCCTCCTCTTCGTCTAACCCCTTCTTCTTCGTCTGTGTATGGTAGGGGCTGGCGCAGTCTTCCTGTGTGAAGCGCCAGACCCCATTCACACCATGTAACGATGATGATGACGTATGTTCAGGGCTGCATTGCAATATTGATTGTTCGGATCACTGGTATCTAAGTCTTCACCTGTGTTATCTTGTAGAGAGGTCGGTTCTTGTTCTGGTCTGCACGTTACAGTATGCAACAGTTGCGGACTTCCACTTCGACCAGATTCTGCACAGATACCTGCAAACAGCCAAATGTGTGTATCTGATCGATGGCCTGGACTGGGTCCATGTCGACTTGGACTCGTGAGCCTCAATTTCCGAGCTACAGTTGACTGTTGACTTTCTTAGTCAACTGTTGGGCGCAGGGCGTCTGAAGCCCCGTTTTCTGGCCTCGGTTGGGTGCGTATAGCACTGGGCCTCGGTTCAGTCCGTCGCTGTGACCTGAGGTGGCCATTGGCCCCTCATTTGGCCCTAAGACCTGAATGACGACCCCTGGAAGACGACAATAGCATATTTCGAGTGGTTTATTACAGTATTATTATGTTACACAAACGCATGCCTGCCCCAGACGCAGCGGGAACCAAGAACGGAGGAAAAAAAGGGGAAAAAAAAAAACACAGTTCGATGAGAATGAATCTACCGCTAGAACATGGAAAGGTACATGCCCATACTTTATGCATTTTGTTGCATACTCGTGAAACACAGTCATAAGTATGGCGCAGATTCCCAGAACCGACCAGATAATACAGAGTATGTACAATGACAGCAGAAGACTTGATACACATGGACGAACTCAAACCTGACTCAGACTGCAATCATTCCCTCACAAAGAAACATCGGTGGTGTGAAAGCCCTGGCCTTGGACATGGAAGAAAAGGCCAGGGCCTACTCTCATACACAGATGAATGGTAGGGAGGAGGAGAGGGAAGATGACGTCAACTCAATGTTTCCAAAAACAGTATCTCAAAATATTAGTAGTGAAAATCCGAAATGTCACGAATACAGAGTCTCACAGCGTCTCAGATATCGATCTCACAATGTCAAGATGCATCTCCAGAGGTAGATGAAATCAGATCCCCAAAAGTAGTCCTCAACCTGCAGTCTCAATGTTGCTATCTCCAATATCATCAGAGCTCGTAACCATCCTTCATACTCGTAGTAGTCCAGTAGGAGTAACCCAAGAGTCGGCTTAGACTTAGAGGGTAGGAGAGAGAGAGAGAGAGAGCGGATGAGGAAGAAGAGGGAGGAAAGGCAAAGCCTTTCTCCCTGGTACCTTGCGATGCAGCTATGGTGCTGCAGGGCTGGGCGCTGGGCCGCGGGCTGGACCAGGGGGCTGGCGCTACTCCGCTGCCGTGCTAAAACGCAGCTGTGCTATTCCTCCTCGCTGCTGCGCTAATTCCCTCCGCTGCTCTGCTCATGCTAACCCCGAAACACTGCGCCAACCTGTAGACTAACCTAACCACTGAGGCCGGTATCCAGTTGATATAGTGCTGGGCCGGCCTCAGTACTATGGTGCCTTCGGGTCTGGACCGTTGATCAGCCCCAACGGTTCAGATCCGATTCCGGAATCTGAAAGTGAAGTGGCACCTAAACTGCGCCGCCGGCCGGTCCTACGTATGGACCAGTACCTGGCCTAACCCAACTAGCCGTTGGGTCTGGTGGGGTCTAAACTGGCCTACCGGACTCTAATCTGAACCGACGGTTCCTAGGCCCACCTGGCCCTGACTGGGACTGTCATCACCCGGTATCTAGGCCTATGCCTTGCCAACTACAGAACCGGGCCCTAACTGGGGCCCGTGTGGTATCAGTACGCCCCACACTCCCCCCCTTGAAGACCGAGCTAACTGCCAGGGCGAAGCTGTCTGTCCGATGTCTGTACAGGGCGGGCAGGTTGGGCAGCTTCCTTAGCAAGTCACTGTTTTTCGTAATGCGCGAAGATGAGGGCTGCTGTTGCCTTCAGGTCAGCTCGTGAAATCCAGCGTGTGTCGTCGGGATCGCATTGCTTGAATGTAACTATGTACTGCATTGGCTTGTTGCCGTGCTTGCGATGAGCGAGGACACCGTCAACCTCCTGGTGACCATCCATCGAAGGAGGGTCGTGGGACCGTCTGCCTGGGAATTCTGTTCGTGAGGCTGGAATGTAGACCGCCAGCTTCGAAGCGTGAAATACAAGGTGGACCGTCAGATGCAGGAGAATCTCGATTATGAAAGAGAGACCAGCGGGGTCGTCACCAGCTGCTGAAGTGACCTTCCATGGCCCAAACCACTTAGGGAGGAGCTTGCGCGAGACATGCTACTCGAACGTGAATTCCTCGAAGGTGACCCAAACAAGGTCGCCAGCGCGGATTGGACATGGGATGCAACACCGGTTGGCTTGCTGTTGCATACGGACCCAAGCCTTTTGCATATTTGCACGGGCTTTGGTCAGCAGATCCCTATGCTTCCTTGTAGAAGCAGGGGAGCAAGCGGCATCAATATCGGCAGCCCGTGGAAGCAAAATGTCTGCGAAGATATGGCCTTTCCGTACACCGTGATGCAACTCAAAAGGAGTCACGCTGATCGCGCCGGGTGCATCGAACTGTTGTAGGCGAACTCGATGTCGGGAAGACGGTCAACCCAGTCCTTTTGATTCGGGCGGATGAGTGTGCGGAGCATCATCTGCACAGTCTGGTGCGCACGTTCCGTTTACCCATCCGTTTGAGAATGTCGTGCGGAACTCGGTTTCATGCTGGTGCCGGATTCCACCATGAGTGTCGTCCAAAAGGCTGACATGAAACGAGTGTCGCGGTCGCTGATGATGTCTTCCGGAATGTCGTGGCTGCAAAACCAGCCGGTATGCAAAAGTCGTGCGAGCTCCGGAGCCGTCGCATGATACTTGCATGGAAGAAATCGAGCGTACTTGCTCAAACGGTCGACGACCATGAGAATACCATCATGGCCAAGGCGATCGCGAGGGAAAGGACCGGTCACATCCATAGCAATGGAGAGACCTGGTTCCCGAGGGATCAGCAATGGTTTCAGTTCGCCGTATGGGAGCTGATGGCGCCCTTTGTTCCGATGGCAAACTGCACATGACTGAATGTACCGGTTGACGTAGCTGATGATGTCCGGCTAGTGAAATCGTTGGCGGAGTCGTGCGAGTGTGCATGCGACGCCAAAGTGTCCCGCGAGCCGTGAATCGTGGTATTCACCAAGGAGGCGAGTGCGCAAGATGCGGTCTTGGGGAACACGCAACAAATCCTTGCCTCGTGTATGGAGAAGCAAGTATCCGTCGACAATGCGATAATTGCTTGTTGGCGGGTGATCCGATGATAAGTTCGCGTAGGTGTGGAGAATCCCGGATCCGTCTTGTAGTCGTTTACAAAATTTTGCTGCAGGTCCTCGTTGAGGCCGGATGTGGAGTGCACCAAGGCGCAAACATCGGGTCTTCGCGAGAGAGCACTCGCTGCCTTGTTTGAGGGATCGAAAATATGCTTGAATTTGAAGTCAAACTGGTCAATGAAATACATCCAGCGACCGATCGTGCTGCTCACTGTGTCTTGCGTCTTGTAATAAGTCAACGGATTATTGTTTGTTGCCCACGTGAATCGCCGACGCCCGAGGAGAAAGTAACGCCAACGCTTAAGTAGCGTGTCGAAAGCTAGCAGTTCCTTCTTCCTTGCATCATCAAGGGAATTGATAGGCGGCACCTTGTGGCTGAAGTACTCAACCGGGTGCCAGTCTGCGCCGTCATGTTGTTCTAGAACCGTGCCAATGTCGTAGCTGGAAGCATCCGTAGTTACTTTGGTTGGCAAGGTCGGGTCATAGATGCTCAAGACGGGAGCTTGAAGCAAGGTCGTCTTCAGCGTATGGAACACGTGCCGGGCTTCGTCGTTGAACTCAAAGGGCACCAAGGGGGACTGAAGTGGCGACAATGGTGCAATGATCCGTTGGAAGCTCTTGACGAAGCGCATGTCGTATGATGCTAAGCCGAGAAAGGAGCGGACGTCGGTAGTGCACGAAAGGTCCGACCAATCTTGAATGGCTTGTACTTTGTCCGCGAGCGGACGAATGCCTTGCGGTGTAACGTAATGGCCCAAGTACTCCAGCTCTTGCTGGGCAAACTCGCCCTTGTCGCGGTTTGCCTTGTACTTGGCGATACGGAGCTGCTCCAAAAAGGCGCGAAGGTGCTCGAGGTGCTCGTCCAGCGACCGGCTATAAACCAAGATATCATCGAAGTAAATGAGTACGATGCGGTCGAGTAGGTCCTTGAATTTCGTCGTCATAGCCGCTTCGAAAGTTGTCGGGGCATTGGTGAGACCGAAAGGCATGACGATCCACTCAAAGTGCCCATACCGCATCTTGAACGTGGTCTTGTATCGATCTCTTGGCTGGATCTCGATCTGGTGATAGCCGGATTTGAGGTCAAGCTTTGAGAAGTACTTGGCGCCGCCAAGTTGCTCAAGGAGATCATCGATCCACGGGAGAGGGTTAGCGTTCTTGATCGTTTGCGCGTTAAGTTTCTGATAAGTCGATACACAAACGAAGGTCCTTGTTCTTCTTCCGGACGAAGAGAAGGGGAACACCGTATGGCGAACAGCTAGGGCGCATCCAGCTAGATGCGCCCGAAGCACTTGAAGCTCCTCTTCGCTCATGCGGTAAATGCATTCGCGCGAAGGTACAGCGCCGTCCTCGAGAGTGATCCCGTGGCATGTGGGCCGATCCGGTACTACTCCAGCGGGAGCTTGGAAGACATCCTCATAGCTGTCCAAAAGCTCAATGATGTGTGGGTCCAATGTGTCCGTCTTGGGCTGATCACCGGGTGGGAGGGCGTGAAGAAAACACATGCCCATCTCCTCGATGTCATGCCTGCTGATGGATTGGCGAATGCTCGCCCGGAGACCACGTGACAACCAATCGAAGGATGAGGAAGCGGCACCGTGCACAGGACTAGTTCGCCACGCCGATCACGAATGTGAACAGTGTGTCAAAAGGAAGTTTACCAGATGGTCTTCGCTTTGCAGCCACAACATGCCTAAGATCATATCGAACTTAGTGTCCAAGATGTCATATGACACGACCTCGCATGCTAGCGGGGCAAAGTACACGAGCACGGAGTCAACGCAGCGGTCTACTGACTTTTGCGCTTGACCATCGCCAACGTGACGTGCGTAGGCTGACTTTTCCTTCGAACGCACGGGCCAAGCCCGGCCCGGGCCATAAAGTCTTGGTTGTAGTTGCAAGTCGCTCCACAATCAATCAAGGCACTGAAGGTTGCCTTTCCAATCTGAATGCGGATGTAGAGGAGCGGCGCGTCGATGTCGACGTACCGTTGCATTGCGTGCTCGCGGTCGATCTTCATGAGGTAGCTACGAAGGTCAACTCCGTCGACGGAGGTGGTACTGCAGTGTGCAAGTATTCACGCAAATGTGCCATCAGCGCGTTGCAATGTCGTGTTGGCAAAGAACCGCTAGAGGGAAGAGGCAACCATTGGAAGTCCTCAACCGTCAACGGGTTGAGTTCCTCAAGACTCGCCCAAGTTGACGGATCCTCCGATAGAAGGGCTAGTGAAGCAACCAGTTCGTTGTCCGACGGCGGTAACACTGCGCATGCATTTGAATCTTGCACGTGGCGCGGCTGGTTCAACGGTGGGACCAGTTGGACAGCATAGTTCTCGAAGTCAATCTGACAACTTGCGACTACCGCGGTATCCCTGGACGTGAGAGAGACTGCTAGCAAGGCAGCCGAGTCCGACGGACTGGGAAGTGATGTCGCTTCACTTCCCGCAGTGATCAATTTCCCGGAGTCTGGACGCTTGACATCTTCTTTGTCCTTGTCAAGGCGCGTGCTAGTGATGTGTTTGGTGTTGTTGCACCATAAACAGCATCCCCATTTCTGTCGTAACTTGAACATGTTTTCGGTGCTTCCGAACTTGGTCCATGACGACTGTCTCGCTCCATCCGCCGACGCTGTTTTCGCCTTGTGTTTTCCCCCACGGGGTCTTGAGCGTTGCGGTGGTATCGCTGCCGCCACATCTTCGTCACTTGATGTTGAAGCAGCTGCGTGGTCCTCACTAGATCCTTGCTGGATCGCTGCTACTTGTGGCGTCCGCTGACCTTTGCCTTTCTCCATGTAACCGGTTTGTTGGCGGCCTCATTGTCCGCTCGCCAGTTACCTCGTATGAGTTCCCTTGCCTTTGGGGTCATCTCATCAAAGGTCTCATACTCAAATTCGCTGCCAAGGGCAGCTGTCAAGGCGTCGCAAGATCAACCAAAGAACTTGGCCCGGATTGAGTCGAACGGCGGGTTCAACTCCGGGGTGGCGGCGAGTCTTTGCCACTCCGTCCCGTGATGGTTGCTGGCCTTGAAACATGCGGAAGATTTTGTTCAATGCGTGACGTTTGTCATTGTTGACAATGAACCGGGTCTTCCACTTCTTCTCGAAGTCCTCCCAAGATATCTATCTTGGTGTGGAGGGTGGCGATGGTGCACTCCAGCATGACGGCCATGTGAGTCATAAATGCTTGTGCCTCTCCGATGAGCTGGAGGTAGAGCGCGTCAAGCTGTGTTGTACTTCCGCCTCCGTGTTGAATGCCATCCACCATTGCAGCGGATCGGTCTTGTGGTAGTCATCGAACATCTCGATCTTGAAGTTCGACATTTCCCATTCCTTGACGACGGCGGCCGTTCGTTGTTGAATGCGGTCGCTGAGCGTCTGCAGCTGATTGCTGACCGTAGACGTCCCGGCCAACTTGCTGATGTCGCCAAGGGATGCGACTACGTGGTTGATCCGTTCTTCGAGTTGATCGCCTTGCGCGGCCAAAACTGGGCTGCAGTCTGAAACTGCACTGCCCACATCGAACTTCTCGATCTTGAAGTTCAGCATTTTCCATTCCTTGACGACGACGGCCGTTGATTGTTGAATGCGGTCGCTGAGCGTCTGCAGCTGATTGCGGACCGTAGACGTCCCGACGAACTTGCTGATGTCGCCAAGGGATGCGACTACGTGGTTGATCCGTTCTTCTAGTTGCTTGCCCTGCGCGGCCAAATCTGGGCTGCAGTCTGAAACTGCACTGCCCGTCGACTCAACTGTAGATAAGCGTGCCAACCCCATGCTGACATTGGTCTGCAGTTGGTCGTTGATGGTCTGCTGGTGACTGTTGGCGGCCTGCAGTGTACTGTTTTCAGCCTGCAAGTCAACGATCTTCTGAACCAGCGTCCGAAAAGTTCCTTCGTAGCAGATGCGGCCATCAGTTCACGTTGCTGCCAACTGCACGTGTACAGCAGGTTTTCCATCAGTACGGTTATGGCCTCTTTGCTTCTCTCTTCCTCAGTCGGCTCCTCTTGTTCTTCGGTTGCTTGAAAGTGCTGCTGTCGAAGTGATCTGCGGTACGTAGATTCGTCGTTGGCGAGCTCAATTGTGGCTTGGTAACGAACTTGGTTTTGGCTTGCCTCGACCTGCTGTTGCTGTAACCGTGCGGCTGCTGCAGCTTCTGCTGCAGCCCGTTGATGCGCTGCCTCCGCCTCTGACAGCTGGCGTTGAATCGCCTTCCGGCGGGCGGCATCCTCCTCTTCCCATTTGCGAAGTTCGGCTGCAGCAGTCTCCGTGTATAGTTGGGAGACGTTCGAGAAACGTGAGTTGCGTTTCATCGGCCTGCTGAACTGGCACGGGAGTAACCGGACTCTTGGGGCTGTCTTGCGCATTGGCGTCGGCGTTGGCCATGGCCGTGCGTGGTCTCCGCGGGACACCGAGGTGTTTTGGGTCCCTGCTGGGGCCTAGTTCCCTTGGATTCTCGCTCAGCAAGTCGTAGACTGCGGTGCATCTAGCAGTCCTGGCTCCATGTTGCAGCTAACATGTCACTGCTGCACAATGCTGACGTGGCCGGAGGCTGAAGTCCACTTTACCAAGAGGAGGGGAGACAAGGCAGGGGTGGAAGAAGGGAGGGCGGCAAGCAAATGCACAGACAGTTTCTTTCTGCCCCGACCTCGGACTTGATGCTAATCAAGGGAAAAAAGAATTCCCCCCCACGATTTTTTTTTTAATTTTGAAAAAAATAATATTAATATTTAATTATTTAATTAAATAAATTCTAATCAGGAAAATAAGCGTTAAACCACCAGTACCTCCGAGCCTATTTTCGACGAGTTCTAGCCAGCACCCGAACTTTTAGGAGGCCGAGCCCGACAACGGCTGCCGTTGGTAAATCTGATCGGCGGCTGCGAAAATGTTTCGGCCTCCTGAAAGGCCGGACGCCGAGTATTTTCGAACCGACAAAGGTACTGGTGGTTTAATTAGATAACATTTTGATTTTGGCAAAAATTAAATATTTAATTAAATGATACTTAAATTTGCAAAAATAAAATCGACTGAAGTTTGAATAAGATTAAACATTTAATCAGAATATTTAATTAAATACTTTCATGAAATTTAATCGGGAGAATTCAGCATCGTTACGAGGTCACGAGGTAAGTACAACATCAATGGTAGTAGGAAGATACACAATTTGCTGCAAAGATTCAAATTTTAATCGCCAAAAAGATGCAATTTGCAAAAAGTGGAAGTTCCGTGAAGTTCCAGTTGCATGTGGCCGTGCTCAGGCCCAATCTGCCTTAATTGGGCGCAGTGCCTGGCTGGCGCTTACTTCCCGTAACCCGATAGGTCGTTAGACCTTTAGACTAGGTTGATCGCGATTGCGTGATCTCCTAATTGTGCGCATTTTGGAGAGACCCGCCAAACCTAAAAATAGATTTCAACTGACCTAATTAACTATGTCAGAAGAAAAAGAAAAAAAAATTGCAACTTGCGAATAATGATAACAGAGTACAGGTGTAAATAATCAATCAATCAATTGATCGATTGGTTGATCACGGGCTAGTTGATCAGCTTGACCAATCGATCGATTGATGATGAGTCATCCAATGCTGGTCTGCTCCAATACCAAACTGTTGCATACTCGTGAAACACAGTCATAAGTATGGCGCAGATTCCCAGAATCGACCAGACAATACAGAGTAAGTACAATTACAGCGGAAGACTTGATACACATGGACCAACTCAAACCTGACTCAGACTGCAATCACTCCCTCACAAACATATATCGGTGGTGTGAAAGCCCTGGCCTTGGACATGGAAAAGAAGGCCAGGGCCTACTCTCATACACAGATGAATGGAGGGGAGGAGAGACGAAGTGAGGAGGAGAGGGAAGATGGCGTCAACTCAATATTTCCAAAAATAGTATCTCGAAATATCAGAAGTAGTGAAAATCCGAAATGTCGCAAATACAGAGTCTCACAGTGTCTCAGATATCGATCTCACAATGTCAAGATGCATCTCCAGAGGTAGATGAAATCAGTCCCCAAAAGTAGTCCTCAACCTGCAGTCTCAATGTTGCTATCTCCAATATCATCAGAACTCGTAACGATCCTTCATACTCGTAGTAGTCCAGTAGGAGCGACCCAAGAGTCGGCTTAGACTTAGAGGGTAAGAGGAGAGAGAGCAAGAGAAAGAGAGAGAGAGAGAGAGCGGACGAGGAAGAAGAGGGAGGAAAGGCAAAGCCTTTCTCCCTGGTACCTGGCGATGCAGCTATGGTGCTGCAGGGTTGGGCGCTGGGCCGCGGGCTAGGCCAGAGGGCTGGCGCTACTCCGCTGCCGCGCTAAATCGCGGCTGTGCTATTCCTCCTCGCTGATGCGCTAACTGTCTCCGCTGCTCTGCTCATGCTAACCCCGAAACACTGCGCTAACCTGTAGACTAACCTAACCACTGAGGCTGGTATCCAGCTGATAGAGTGCTGGGCCGGCCTCAGTACTACTGGTGCCTTCAGGTCTGGACCGTTGATCAGCCCCAACGGTTCAGATCCGATTCCGGAATCTGAAAGTGAAGTGGCACCTAAACTGCGCTGCCGGCCGGTCCTACCGATGGACAGGTACCTGGCCTAACCCAACTAGCCGTTGGGTCCGGTGGGGTCTAAACTGGCCTACCGGACACTAATCTGAACCGACGGTTCCTAGGCCTACCTGGACCTGGCTGGGACCGTCGTGACCCGTACCTAGGCCTAACCTGTGCCTACTACAGAACCGGGCCCTAACTGGGGCCCGTGTGGTATCGGTATGCCACAACTTTCTGGGCGTCAAGAGTAGTGAAGCAAGGCCCCAAGTCTTTGGGCATCGCCCACTACTCTCCACATGCACAACAGACCAAAAATATGGCGTCGTATCTTTCCATGTCCTAGCCAAGGATTCTGTCTCATTTTGCACATTTGGAGAGTAGTGGAGTGAAGCCCTTTCCATGTCGTAGAAGCACATTCTCGTTTTGCACAATGTGCAAGTAACTGAGCGAGCCCCAAAGACCAGATCTCAGACGGTTGGTGTCAGTGTCGGGGTTGGGGTCGGCAGTCAGCAGGGGTGCAACCCTCACATTATACGAAAAGGGGGAAGGGTTCATGAGGGACGATGACGGAGGAGAGAGAAGAGGGGAGGCCAGTTACTCTTGTGTTCTCTCTTGCTTCTTCTTCTTCTTCTTCTTCTTCTTCTTCTTCTTCTTCTTCTTCTTCCTCCTCTTCTTCTTCTTCTCCAGTTCATTCTCTTCTCTCTCTTCGCCTTTTTCCCTTCATCTTGATTCGTGATGTTGAGTTCAGCATCAAGAACGTGGCAGAATTAATAATACACACACAGAATAAGCACCGTTTCAATTTGGCGTCACTGATGACCCAGCTTTGCACCATGCCATCTTCCTTCCTCATTTCCTCTGCCCATGCTCCTTTCTGCAAACCTTTCAAGCTAGTACAGTGTATGCAAAGGATATCAGAAACTCCATAGGAGGGTACGATGAGTAAGAATGACTCCCTTCCGAAACATGTTGACAGGCATGTGGCAATGACAAGTATGTAAGAAGATAGGCATCACCAAGGGGAACAATGTACCAGCTCCAAAACGGAAACGACGAGAGAGAAACCAGTACCAATGAACAAATCCCCAATCAGAGCAAAGGAGATGAGATGACTTGCCTTCCTGCAATAGCTTTTGCAACATTCGACCATTTATTCCCACAGATAAATCGTCCAACCAAAACCAAAGCATCTTCCTCCTCCGAAAACGGGCCATGTTTTTCATCATTATTGGCCAGAGCTTTTTCCCTCACTGCAGATGCCTCCATTTCAACCATAAGGCGCTCCCTCCACTTCGGGTCCTCCCCAAGTCGTACTCGTGCTGCTTCGATCAAGTTTGCTGGCAACCAACAGCATGCAGGACACCCAATCAAAATAATGTGAGAGTCAAATTCAATTAATGACGTCGATGTACGCGGCAGAAAGGACCCATTCCTAAACATTCACCTGCACACAGTACCCACAAATAGGTCGAACACGAGAAGTGCTTTGAACTTGAAACAAGAGGGGAAAAGAGAACAAAGGGAACCCTAATATCATTGGCACCTAAACATTGTTATTGATTACATAAAAGATTTGGCTTCATTGGACAAGTTAAACCCCTACCTTCTTTGAAAGTAAATGTCACTTACAAGCAAGCATCTCAATGCTCCTACCTTTCAATTCCAATAGTGCCCATAAGTCCCGTGGCATCAGCATGCATTGCACTCACCAGAGACATTCAGCATTTATCCCACGCCCCAACACAAGTTTCGCAGTTTCGCATCCAATACCAAAGACTGCTCACTGATCCGCTTTACACCCTGTAATCGGCCGAAGACTATCGCTGACTGCAACTCTGTCCTTTCCGACTGCAAAACCAGCCAGGCCAGATCATCCGAGGGGAGGTTAATCGAGACTTCCGGGTAATTTGAGGCCCCTGGGTGTCACCGCAGACTGTGAAGGGCTGGTAAGGATGGGGTCCAGGTCTAGAATGTTCAGGGTGCCCAGGCCCGGACAGGGACCCGATAATTCTGCATGGGCCCAATAGGGTACCACTGACTCCAGAGCACGGAAGGAAGACCCAGACTCTGTATGGAAGTCAAGGCAGGGCAGTTCAGGACATCATTTGCACGCAAGTCGCCGCTAGACAGCACAGCACGAGCGATAAACATGGACCTGCTGAAGAGAGCAGCAATCTGCAGTCCTCCAGCACCATAGATGTTGGTTCTGATGAAGTGGGCCGGTGACATAGCTGTGCAGAGCAGTGCACAGGAAAGCCATGGGAGAGGGGCAGGGGGATACCCACCTGGTGGGTGACAAGGAGGAGCGCCAACAGAGCAGAGTCTTCTGGCCGAACTGGAAGGAGATGAGTGGTGTATGGAAAGGCACTGCTGATGAGAAGCACAAGACAATGTGTAGTTCACGCATGCATGCACTGTACACATTCTGTTCGGCACATGGTTAGCAGGCATCTCGCTGGTGGCCACGTTGTCATGTTGTGAGGTTAGATCATTCTGGATCCGCGGTCCTACTACTACGTTAGATTACTCTTGAGGCAAACAGCTATTGATTGATGAGGTGATTACAACTGATCCAGTGAGTTCAGAACAGTTGGTCCAATACAAGCAGGGATTAGACTAACTAGGGGACTAATCAGACTGATTAACACACAAATAGAGTTTTAACTAGTCCAATCAATCACACAGGCTGTACTTGTGAAGAGATTGGGAACTAGTCAAGGAAATACTGGCTACAAGTTTATGAATCTACAGTTGACAGAAATATCTTACAACCAATCAGCTCAGCCGTGTTGGCCCAATCAGGTGCAGGGACAGACAGGGACCAGTCAGGCCCAAGTGTCCAAGCGCAATAGCGGTAAAACAGGCTTAGGCAAGTCAGCCTCAAGTGAGTTGGACTCGGACAATGCAGCCAGACACACAATAGGTATTGCAGGCCTACGCAGGGAGCAGCAGGAGGACATGCAGAGCATGATGCAATCTACAGCTGCAACATCATCAGTCCCTTCTTAGGTAGGGGAACAGGGTGAGGTGCTTACAAAAGCCATGGCTCAGCGAACGCGGGAACAAGAAGCCAAGGAGCTGCAAAGATGCACAGATTACCCAAACTTTGTAGAATTAAAGAGAAATGAAGAGTAACGACTGATAAGACCCAGTGGAGGCATTACCGGCAGCTGCTGCATGCCCAGTGATGAGCCAAGGGACTGCGAAGTCCACAGATCACAAACATGAGCATGAGCAAGAATTTTAAGGTCATGAAAAGGTGCTGGTCAAACTTGCGGGGCGGTGGCATGTGCAAAGTGCATATGCATGCTCCCACATTCCCCAGGGTAAAGCGTAACATCTCTGATAGTCAATCAAAGACCAAGAGACTGTGCAGTGTGCATAGAGATGGATACAGCACAGCATGGAACAGACTACCAGTTCATAGATTTCCTTCCTCTGGCCAAGTGCCTGGCTTAGCTGGTGGGCGATATTGAGCAATTCGCTGGCTCATTACCTGGCAAGCTCCCCTTGTGCAACACAACCTGCTGTTCAGCATTCTACTTTCCTCTGAGATTCAGTACCCTGTCATAAAAGTTGCATGCTTACATGTTATTCATCAGCTGCCAAAGATGGCTAACAAACATATCCAGTCGCTGCTCACGGTCGCTACTTTACAGACCACTTAGATGTCACTGCTGCTGATTAGAATATCTGCTGCCACTGCTACTTGGCTGTCACATTCTACATTGCTAGTGCATCCCAAGACTCTAAATGTCTCCACAAAGTGTTGCTATTTTTCTCATTGTCACCTATCTCATCCCTGGTCTCGAACAGTCATATAACACATATGTTGCTGTTCACATTATCCGTCCTGCCTGTCAACTCCCACGTATCACTCACTGCTATACCATATCCTGTAGTACTGAGGTTCTTGACAACTCACCTTGCACATTACTTTGGGTAGCGTTGACTCCCCCAGAAGAACCTTCCTTATGTGCATGGGTTTTTGCTTCCTTTGCCACACTCAAGATGCGCCTGTTGGTCCATGAATATATCCGACAATCTTGTTGTGTGTAGGGGATCCTGCTCAGCTCACCATATTTCTTCTCAAACCTTCTTGTATGTTTTTATCCAGATTATTCAATCTACCCCGATCACGCTGCCACTTCAGTGTGCGCAAAACGGCAGCTCAGAGCTGCTTGCGATTGCACCATAATGACTGCTGAATAATTTGTCTGGCCTCCCCTTGCTTTTGGTGAACTTGGGTTGCACTCTGCATAAATATTCCTGAAATCTAAAAGCAACTATCTGTTGAATATGGCATTGAGCGCGGTTAAATCCTGTGGATGGCAGTAGCAAAAAAAAAAAGTCAGGGTGGGCAAAATCTCCCAGAACCAGTTAGAAAACTGAAAATCTTACAGGTCTGGGGATCGGCCTTATGTCCTCCAATTAGCATCTAACAGACACCGTGAAAGGCTGCAAATAACTGAGGTGCAGAGCACATATACGAGGAGGCCGTGCTTTTGGGCGCAAAAAGGTTGCGTTCGGCAATTTAGGGTCCACCTTACTGACAAATTTAATCAGAATTTGCATTCATGACACCCGGATCGATGTTCTAAACCATGCCGGGGTTCATTCTCTGGCATCTCTGTCCCTGTTCTACATCATCTGCACCTTACAAAGATCATGCTCTGTCCCCGTTCTACATCATCTGCACCTTACAAAGATCATGCTCTGTCCCCGTTCTACATNGCACCTTACAAAGATCATGCTCTGTCCCCGTTCTACATCATCTGCACCTTACAAAGATCATGCTCTGTCCCCGTTCTACATCATCTGCACCTTACGTAAATCATGCTGTATTCCTGTGTTTAATATTTCTCGTGTCTCTTGTACAAAATTCCTTAACATTCACGACAAAAAGAAAAAAACATTCTCAGGAACGACCCTCACAACATTGCCCTTCATAAGGATTATCAGATACATGATGGGACTTCAAGACCGGAATGTGGGCTGTACCCATAAATCGTGAAGTATCTCCATAAATCGTGCTGTGTCCCTGTTCCACATCATCTGCACCTTACAAAGATTATGCAAATATCTAAGAGAGATCATTCTCTCTCTCTCTCTCTCTTTCTCTCTCTCTCTCTCTCTCTCTCTCTCTCTCTCTCTCTCTCTCTCTCTCTCTCTCTCTCTCTCTCTCTTTTTCTCTCTCTCTCCCCCCCTCCCCCCCTCCCTCCCTCTCCCCCCCCCTCGCCCGTTCAGCCCTCCTGTAGTCATCTGCATGATCTTTCACTTTGATCATAAGAGCAACGACGGAGCAGAGAGACAACACAATCAATGCACGGCTTTTCAGCGAAGGCCAGATGTCAAGCACCAACAACAGGTTACACAACTGCAGATGGGTAGGTTCACGGGCTAACCTATGACCACCTTTTGTATGTAACCCTGTTGATTGATTGCTTACACGTTTCACTGATCCAGTGGCTGATTGATCAGCATTTTCCAATGGTTGATTGATCGGTCGCTTCGCGAACTTAACACCTAGACGGATAGACTATCAGTCCATCTGAAGCTAAATTGACGAGCCAAAAAGATGTGTTTTTGCCGAGCATGCCTGCTACAGTAACATGAAGAAGAAAAAAAATATTGGGGTACTGGTGACGGCCTGTGTCTGTTGCACCTGAAGTTCAAAAGACAGGCCATGAACTTTCATTATTGCACTATTGCTTTTATGTTTTCCTTTTCCTTTTTTTTCCCTTTTCCATTTTCCACGTTTTCACATGGGCGCCCCGAACCGAACGCACCCTCGTTATCACTATACTGGACCAGAAAGATAGGCTTCCCCCAAACACAACGCACCCTGATAGCGAATGTATACAAGCTATCTTTTTGAAAGGCCTTCCATTGGGCCATCCACGAAGAGCCTTCCATTTGAGGTGACGAAGGCATTGGGGGGAGGTGACAAAAGCATTCCCAAATAGTAGACCTGCCACTGTTCGCTGATGGCCCCAATCTTATTGGTGGGGAGCTGCAGCTGGAAACTGGGTCCCGCATCCCATTTACAAGATCAAGACAGCCTTGAGATATCATCTCTGAACTGACCGGCCCCAGGTAAATTTCGTACGGATTCAAATTTAGGCCTGATTCTCAACAATTCATGGATGACCCTTCAGCCACATGGGCTGGGTTTTTTCTTTTTTCTTTGGTTGGCGACGCCAGCCATTTTGGTCCAGTACCACTGTTCATCCGAAGAACACGGTTGTGCACAATTCGAGCACAACAAAATTGTCTGTGCAAAGCAGCGACGGGAATGAAAAATGAGAGTACCAGAGGTAATAAGCTAGAGAAGAGA